CGAATTTATCAAAAATTTCCTACGATACCATCCAGGTAATAAACAAGATCGACATTGACAGGGTATATTATTTCGTGGTTTATTCCTGGTGAATTAATCATGATGAGCTGTCTGATTTGACTTTATCCTTGTATATTATACGTTGACTGGTAAGTACTCTGCTAGTATCAACAACGCAAACGGTGGTAGGTTACTATTCCATTAAAAGTTAGTGACTGATTTCATCATCATCATCCTCACATAGTACTAACATTTTGTTCTACAAAATCGAATGTGAAAAAACGAACAATGAACGCATAATGAATTAAAGTAACTAAATTAGTTCAGAAATGACAAATATAGAATGATATAATAACACGAGTATACTAAGTACTTATCTATTTATAAAAAAAAACCTAACTAATTCGGAGAATTACGTAAAGTAAATCGTACTACGATTCATGTAAAGCGAGCTATTTAAACTCCTACGCAGTCTCGTGCAATACTTACCTACTGAACTATATATGTATAAACGCAAGACGAGACCGCCGAAACGATTCAAATATTATTTATTATTTATATGTATAGGTAGAACATTCCACAACATTAGCAAACGCCACAGAGATTTACGCCATCTATAGGTTACTTACGCAATTAGTAGTCATCGGTAAATTAATTTATTAGCTTGAGCTGGCGAGCGGCTAAGAAAGTAGCGGCATCTAGCACATATATGAACAACTAAAAATTAAGCCGAAGAATAAACCGACTTAGAGCTTTCCACTTGTTTGTTCAAGATGATGTATCTGTACTAGTATAGTATTATATTATCTCTGGCAAGGGTGAGCTTATCTATGAAAGAGATCTCTTCCAGTGAACCCAATGCAGCGTAAGATAAAAATGAATATACATATTTATTTTTTTATATTTTTTTATTATTTTAGTGCAAAATCAACAATGTCAAAACGCAAAACCACTGCAATGAGCGCAGAGTTGCAGGGACCTGCAAGGGGTGAGAATTACAACCCGAACTATGGTTACGAACCGTACTGAGCAGACGGGAACTGGGTGTGGGAGAAACCAAAGGACGAGGTCAATGGGACAGGCATGTGTGGAAGTAACTGCTCCCCCATATATGAGACGTAAGAGGAATTTACGACCTTATTTTGTATTACTATAACATTATTAGGAGAGATTTTACAAAAGTCGTCTGCTTGGGTACCTCAGTCCCATTCATGTTTCTACTGTGAAGCGGTTGTGTTTGCATACGAGTAACTGTTTCTATTTGAAGGGTGGGATATGACAATGAAATTACAAGGTACAGAGAGGAATAACACTTCGAGTGATACAGTATACTCTGTTATGTTCATGGTACTCTCTATAAAATCAGTTATATTTCTTCTCATTTCTGTTAATTTTAATTATTATAAACAAATGTGAAATGAAAATATTTCGACGTTTCCTACTCAATTGAGTTTAATCGAGTAAATGGTTTTAACAAAATTCAATACGATTACTCTTGACATTTTTAATACAGGATTCTTTAGATTTCAAATGTATGATTATACAGTTTTGGACCAGTTTGTGGAAGAAACTCAAAATTTGAGCATAAGACCTTTGTGGATTATTGTGAACTAAGGAATTTCGATTGTACTGGTCGATTAGGTAAGATGTAACTGATTGTAAGATTTAATTATTTAATTACAGACAATGATAGAAATATACCAGAGGGAGACTTTGTACAAAAGTTGATTGCTTGGGTACCTCTGTCCTATTCGTGTTTCAACCGTTAAGCAGCTGTGTTTGCATGGCTGTGTTTCGGTTTGGGATATGGCGTGAATTTACTGGGTACAGAGGAATAACATCCGAGTCCTCAGGAATGGAAACGCAAGGGAGGTATCATGTGCGAAACAGTATACTCTGTTATGTTCATGGTACTGCTCATGTCTATAGGCGATGGTTACCACTTTCCATCAGGTGGGCCGTCAGCTTGTTTGCCATTCTAAGTTGTATAAAAAAAAATTAGACTTGAAATAAAAAAACAGTTTTAGGTGCTTAATAGAGCGAGGCAGTATTTCACGCCATTCTATCGTCTCTAACTCTGCCAGGTAGAGGTTCAGCCCTTCATGGACTACTGTTCCCATCTTTAAATCGGAGCACCGCAATGTCAGCTTCTTCCATTCGACGCGTCCAACGTAGGGCATCTCGAATCATCACTGACTCTGTTATTTCCAATCCGTTGAATTCTGTGTATATGCGAACGTAATATCTCATTACGTTTTTTTGTGTATTCTACAGACTGTATCATGGGGAGTATTCTGAGGAACTGTTTTATATAATACTGCATATCATATTAGCCTTTAACTGTCCACTGCTGAACATAAATTTCCTTTTGTCATAGTAGTTGCCATGCTATATATATATATATATATTATATATATATATATATATATATATATATATATATATATATATATATATATATATATATATATATATATATATGTAGTCGGCTTTTACGACACCCACGGAAAAGGAAGGGGTGGCCAATTCTATGCCAGGACCACACGGCAATGCCGGAACCAGAGGGAGACTTTGTACAAAAGTCGATTGCTTGGGTACCTTTGTCCCATTCGTGTTTGCATGGCTGTGTTTCGGTTTGAAGGGTGGGATATGGCGTGAATTTACAGGGTACAGAGGAATAACACCAGAGTCCTCGGGAATGGCAACGCATGCGGAGTATCATGGGTGAAACAGTATACTCTGTTATGTCCATGGTACTGCTCATGTCTATAGGCGACGGTTACCATTTCCCATCAGGTGGGTCGTCAGCTTGTTTGCCATTCTAAGTAGTATATAAAAAAACCCCATATATATATATATATATATATATATATATACATATATGTAGGTTTTTGTTATATATTTGACTATTATCTTAGACTAGCTGTTTCATAATGAATGAAGTATGTGAATATTGCTTTTTTCAGGTTGGCTAATAGCATACAAGGGGGAGTGTCGTTTGGAACCGGTGCTGCACCCGAAGCCTTACTACCCCATTGAGATAGAAAATATCTCATTCACCGCCCAAACTATTATCGACAAATTCGAAAATAAGTATCCATATTTATTTAAAACACTGAAATAAAAAAAAATGTACATAACTTCGATTTTATTTTTAAAACTTATGTTAATTTTTTATTCGACTTCTATATCTATATAAAAAAGGTAAATTAATGAACTCGCTGTGTTTTTGTTGTTCCCAACAATTGTTGCAAGGCGAGACACAGTGAAGCAAAGCGACAAACGTACCCTGAAGAAGACTTCTGGATGAAGTAGAAATAGTAGTCGGAAATGACAAAAACACAGTGAGTTCATCAATTTCTCGTTACTTATGTATATAGATATTTTAGATATTATATATATATATATATATATATATATATATATATATATATATATATATATATATATATATATATATATATATATATATATGTAATAGTGTATAAATAAGTGTCACAAACTAAAGTTCCATCCCAACCATCTGGACGAGTGGCGGTCCTCCACCGTGCGTTTTTCAAGGCATATTCTTCCACGCACAACCACTCTTTGGAATCAATTTTTAGCAGCAGTATCTTCGAAACTAATTCAGAAAAGTTTATTTACTAAATTGCCCCGGCGGGAAATCGTCATCCCATCATTACGACGCTCATTATGAGTTTTTGTTTTAATGGGTGATAATGGAATGGTAACCCCACCCGCGCTATTGGTATACACTGGCGGGGCACTAGTGATGAATGATAGGTGAGAATGAAGCAGGTCAGTTAGCCCATCGTGACGAATTCAACAAGAATTGTTCACGATGGTTTCCAGGGGGAACCACGTGGAGGTCGACCTGATAGGGCATATTGCTAGCAATGTCGAACTCCATTGCTAACAATCCCTTTCCCCCGCTCATTATAAGTTCGTATATACATACAGAGAAAATAAATTATAGGTATATGATAATACTAGTCATTATCTGCGACTTTGCCCGCGTGGTTCAGATCTAATGATTGCTCGATAAGTACCTTACATTTTCAAACTCAAATAGTATTTTATATGATGATCAATCGAACTGCTAAAGTGCGGTGGATGAAGGATTGTTAGTCATGGGGACGTTAATCCCCATTGCTAGCGATATGCTCTGTCAGGTAAACCTCCATGTGGTTTCCCTGGAAACCATCGAGATTAATTATTGTCAAATTCGTCACGATGGGCGAACAGACCTACTTTATCCTCACCTATCATTACCCTCACTGGTGCCCTGCCAGTATATACAGATAGCGCAGGCGAAGTAATCATTTCATTACCATCCATTAAAAAAAACCGCTACAGTGCCAAGAGGTGATGAACAAACAAATTCTACTGTTATAAAGATCTATTCTCTTTACACTGCTATAAGGTAAGAATTTTCTAAATGCAGCATGGAAGAATAAAAGGAAGCATGATAGAAGATAGACGATGGATTTTATCTGCGAACACAGTTACAATTTTATACTACAAAGTTGGTAAACACGCATACAGCTCGTCTGATGGTAAACAGTCAGCCTATGGACGCCTACAACATCAGGAGTGACACGGGCGAGTTGCCGAACCTTAAGAAATAAAAAAAAAAAAATTGGAATGCATGCGAACATGCAATTTTTAGAGTTTTGTTATGACCACTTTAGTGTCATAGAATTATAATTGCCTTTTTAATATTTTTTTTTATTTTTTTTTTTTAATACAACTTAGTAGAATTATAATTTCTATGTACTTTTTAATATACATGGGACAGGTCTCTCATATTTCTCTCATATTTTATTCTTGAGGTCACTGCTATCGCAAATAATAAATTGCATTATTTGTTACATCTGATGTCACTGTGAATAAAAATAATTTCACTTAAATAAAGCTGTAATTTTCATGCCTAGTGGGTCGTAATTGAATGTAACGGTCAATCTGAAATAATGATTCCATACAATTTGTTACATGTTTTTTTACAAGGTATATTTCTAATTTTTGCTATGCATCGTTTGCGTTGCCTTTTACTATTTTGCTGTAAGTATATTTAATTTTATTCAAGGTACTTCGATTGGGGTTAAAAACCCAACTTATATGAATTATGTATAATAGAATTTACTTATCATTACTGATTTTTGTTGAGTTTAATAGGCTCATGAGTTGATGGCCTAGCATTCATAGTGTAAGCGACGCGTTCTGTGCCTCAAAACTCAATAGTTTGTCTATGTCATTGTCTATGCTTGCGGTCGTTTTTAAACTTATAATCGGCGCAACGGACGCAACACCCAGTCTGCACCTAGAAGCGATCGACACCACACGTCTATTTATTATCTGTAAATAACGATATTAAAAACGTAAAATAATATCCGATTGTTAGTCTTCGTTTTCTTGCCATTATTCGTAACCTACCGTATTCCATACCATACACATAGATTAGTATAATATTTAATTATTTGTTGACCACATTATAAAAAAAATATTTGTTATAAAAAGGCGGATTTAATTCTATATACATATAATTACATGTATATTGGTGTACTGCGGAGTTTTAGAATTACCCTTCTAGTATTTTTTTTAAATGAGTATAAATCTAATGTTAATCTCTTCTGCCCTATCGGTATACGTTGCCGGGGTACTTTGAGTTTGAGATTATAAGTGAGGATGATAGCAGGTTAGTTTGTCCATTGTTACGAATTGTTTAAGAAGTAACCACCATTGCTTCCAGGAGAACCGCGTGGTAGCCCACCTGATAGTGTGCATTTCTCACTTCTTATTTTTTTATTTCAGTACAGTGTTTTCGTATTGGAGAGAATAAAAGGTAGATCAGTATTTATTTGTAAATAATTTAAAAATCTGTAAAATATGACAAAACTAGAATTAGATAAATATCTGATAATTTCGATTATAAAAACAAACGTCAAACATTGACAGTATATGTTAATAAATCTAATTTTTTTAATGTAATAACGACCGATTTTTTTTTATAAAATGGTTTATTCCCACATTGGTTTCATGCCAATTTAGTCAAGATTATGAAGTTTGTTTTTATTTAGGAAAAATCGTAATTCTTTTTTAATATCTACTGAGGTGGCGTACAAGCATAAGGCCGAGTTAATGCTAGTCTATAAACACCTGCTATACCAGAGGTAATACGCGTGCGCTGCCGACCCTGTAGAAACCTCTTTATCTCCTTTTTGTAGAACCCTATGCTGTAAATTATTCGTTTACTTTAATGCCAAGTCCCTTGTGGGATAGGCAGAGAAAGACGAGTGCCAAAGACTTGTTGCTTTCTAAATTTTCATAGCTCGTCTTATGTATGTACGCCAGATTCGGGGATTCTTGACTCCTTCCTCAGACAGAACAGTCTATCTGATCATAATAGGTAAATTAGTCTTATATTTCATCATTCAGGAATGTCATCCTCACGCGATGGAACTTGGAAATGGTCGCAACAGTGCGGTTTTCTTTTGTGGAATGATAATGAAATGGTGACCTCCGCCTGTGCTATCGGTATACGCTGGCGGGGCATCAGTGAGCGTTGATAGGTGAGAATGAAAAGGCAGGTCAGTTAGCCCATCGTGAGAATTAATCACGATGGTTTCCAGGCGGAAACGCGTGGAGGTCGACCTGATAGAGTATTTTGCTGATAATTGAGCATCTATTATTAACAATCCCTTTCTCCCCAACAATGCGGTTTCGGAGGGATTTCCTTCCGCGAACGCTTAAGCTATGAAATAAGTTCCCTACCGAAGTTTTCCCTAGAGATTATACAGTATGGGGTTATTCAAAAGAGTGTACTAAGGTTTCTTCAGAGTTGGTAACGCACACGTGACACCTCTGGTGTTGTAGGGGTCCTTAGGCTACAGTGACCGTCTACCATCAGACGGGGCTCTACGCTTGTTAGCCATTTATATGTTACAAAAAAGATTACAATAATTTTCAGCATATCAAATGTAAAACCTGTGGGTTTTGGAAATGATCCTTTGCTGGATGAATATGATTTGAAATACAACAATCCCAATATTGGGTACGAGCCGTACTGGCCCCATGGCGAATGGCTGATACAGGATCCGAACGAGGGAGCCAACGTTTCCACAACCAAGATACCAACTGTTTGCGGGGACGAGTGCAACTCTTTATATATGGAGTAATTATTACCACTGTCATCACATTCGGCATCTGTTAATCCAGTACAAACCAGTATGAACTAGTACGAAGGGTAGGTTATGAAGTATTAGAAGTATAAGGTAGGTATTCGTGTTTCAACCGTGAAGCAGTTGTGTTTGCATGGCTGTGTTTCGGTTTGAAGGGTGGGATATGGCGTGAATTTACAGGGTACAGAAGAATAACACCTGAGTCCTCAAGAATGGCAACGCATAGGGAGTATCACGGGCGAAACAGTATACTCTGTTATTTCCATGGTACTGCTCATGTCTATAGGCGACGGTAACCACTTTACATCAGGTGGGCCGTCAGCTTGTTTGCCATTCTAAGTTGTATAAAGATTATGAAGTGAAATTATCCCAACCATCTGCAGGGGTGTCACGTGCTCGTTGCTGACCCTGAGGCAACCCTATTCATTTAATAAAGCCCTTTCCATTCTTGAAGACTATGCTCTTATGCTATAGTGACCTGTAATTTAATACTACATCACACTCTTCTAGAGGTAGGCATGATTAAGCACCTATTTCTCTCTCTGTTCATTTCAGTGTAGGCGAAGTGTGTGCTCACAGAGCTGACAATTTGTACTATGACGGTTGTTGGTATTTCATTGAGACAATCTGGTACCATTGCAATGCAGACATTATCGATACTAGAGTGAAGGGATACGTCACCTTCGACAATTATTGTGCGTTCTTGGACGCTAAGTGCAAAGCGCCTGAAAGTGAAAGTATGTGTTATATACTTTAAGAGTTTCTGTATATTTTAATGGATGATAATGGAATGGTAACCTCGCCTGTGTTATCGGTATACGCTGGCGGAGCACCAATGATAGATGGTAGGTGAGGATGAAGTAGGTCAGTTAGCTCGTTGTAACAAATTCAACAATGAACCAGTCACTGTGGTTTCCAGAAGGAACCGCGAGGAGGTCGACCTGATAGAATACATTATTAGTAATAGGGTTGCTAATCCCCATTACAAATGATCCCTTCCACCAAGTTCCTGTATAATGTGGCGTTTTAAATGTTAAGGGTAGAGCTTAGAAAAAACTATAAAAAAATTTAAGAGCATATCCTATTAATAAGTATTATAATTATCTATATTATCAAAAACTAAACATATATGCAAAAGAATTGTTAGTGATTGGCTATTGAGTAAGACATATGATGGATTACCAGAGGGAGACTTTGTACAAAAGTCGATTGCTTGGGTGCCTCTGTCCTTTTCGTGTTTCAACCGTGAAGCAGTTGTGTTTGCATAGCTGTGTTTTGGTTTGAAGGGTGGGATATGGCGTGAATTTACTGGATACAGAGGAATAACACCTGAGTCCTCAGGATTGGCAACGCATGGGGAGTATCATGGGCGAAACAGTATACTCTGTTACGTCCATGGTACTGCTCATGTGTATAGGCGACGGTTACCACTTTCCATCAGGTGGGCCGTCCGTCAGCTTGTTTGCCATTCTAAGTTGTATAAAAAAATTCAGAAATATTTTGTACAACAATTGGTAGAGCTAATGTCAAATTTAATTCAAATAAAGTTTCCAACGTCGCCGAATTTTAAATAAAACTATAACAAATATGTACGTGAATATGGACTATTATTCTTCTTCTTCTTCCTCAATTCCATACAAATTTAGATCTATCATGTGTACACATTTACAAAACACACACACTATTGTAATCACTTTCTTGTCCAGTTTTTGTGATTGCTTTGTCATTTTTTTTTATACCACTGAAGTGGCAAACAAGCATACGGTCTACCTGATAATAAGTGGTTACCGTAGCCTATGAACACCTGCAATACCAGAGGTATTACGCGCGCGTTTTAATTTATATTATTTGTAAGATTACCAGAGTCAAATACTTTAATTAATTTTTCTTTACAGAGTACGGTTTAGCACATTTTGGTAAATGTTTAGAGGATCAAAATACCATGTACAAAGGTGTGAATGTAGCCTCCGATATAGTAAGCAGGATGACGGCTTACCTCGCCTCCGTCGATGTGGGCAAGAAGTAAGCAATTGGATGTAGTAATTAATTTATTAATACATACGTATTAAATCGAGGATTTAGCTGGAAATATTATTTGATTATGGATCGTATTTCTATTGTTATCCATATGAAACTGTATTAGTCCGTCTTCAACGCTAGACATCTATTTTTTAATGGGTGATAAAGGTATGGTAACCCCGCTTACGTTTTCGGTATACACTGGCGGGGCATCAGTCGGAAATGACAGATAAGGATGAAAGCAGGTCAGTTAGCCCATCCTGACGAATACAACTAGAATTAACCACGATAGTTTCCAGGGGACCACGTGGAGGTCGACCTGACAGGGTATATGGCTAGTAATGGGGCTATTTGACCCCATTACAAATAAAAATAGATATAAATACATACGGAAAAAAGAAATAAAAGAATAAATATACAAAAAAAGGAAAACACATAAAAGAAGTAACATAATTTTTCATTTCGCAAGTGTGTTATAGTAACGCAAAATGGTCATAACTCAGTTGTTCACTTTGCACTCAAAAGAGCAAAACACTAATATTCTGTTGGGGCAAAAACTTTTATTATTAAAAATTTCCATTTTAAACTTATAATTGTATGTACATATGAACGTCACAGAAACACGTTTGTATCATTTCTAAAAACAACTTGTAAAACGTACATTTGGTTTTTGTATATCTTTTCTGCTTCATCAAAATAGCATTTTACGGTCGTCGTTATTTTGTCTTGATGATTCACAGAATCGAGATATGGTCCTATACTGCCAGCCATATGCAGAAGTTCGGAGTTTCGTTGCATGATATAATTTAAAATGTATCTGCAGAAAATTCAAAGTAAATGCTCGATATAGTCTGGGGTCGTCAGTGTGCATGGGCTGCGATGATCACTTGCTACTAGGTGAACTGCATGCTAGTTTCTCGCCCTTTCACATTAAAAGATAGTCCAAAATATAAGCAAGCTGAAGTGGCTATAGTCTAGCCATATAGTTGGATGAACTAATAACTTTTTTTTTTATACAACTTAGAATGGCAAACAAGCTGACGGCCCACCTGATGGAAAGTGGTAACCGTCGCCTATAGACATGAGCAATACCATGGACATAACAGAGCATACTGTTTCGCCCATGATAACCCCCATGCGTTGCCATTCCTGAGGACTCTGGTGTTATTCCTCTGTACCCTGTAAATTCACGCCATATCCCACCCTTCAAACCGAAACACAGCCATGCAGACACAACTGCTTTACGGTTGAAACACGAATGGAACAAAGGTAGTCAAGCAATCGACTTTTGTACAAAGTCTGATAACTGATAGAGAATAGCGACTCTTGCACTAGGTTGCGAGCAGCAGTGTATGCTCCGGCTCCAGAACCTTTTCTTATAATAATCAAATGAAGCAGACTGAAATGAATGATAGATGATAGATAGGTATACTTTATTGTTTCCTCCAAAAGATTACAATAGTAAACTTACATACAAACAATTACGAGAACTCATCATAGTGAGAAAACAATGGGCGACCTCATCGCTAAAAGCTTAAACGACGACCTTGTTTATTTTACTTAACCTATTATGGACAATTCCAAACTATTTAAAACATTGAAAACAAAGGTCTTTATTCAGTGTTGCCAGTGATGACCTACGAAACCGAAACATCGTTTTACACAGTTGGCCGTATGTAGAAGCTTTAAGTTGCTCGGAGAGCTCTTGACAGGGCTATTCTCGGAGTTTCTTTGCTTGATAGAATATGTAATGAGGATATCCGCAGAAAAACTAAGTTAATTGATATAGCACTACGTACGACGTCCCGAAAAGCATTGCTGGGAGTCAGTGAATGCAGGTGGCTCGAGACCGTTCCTTATGACAGTCTATGGGGAAGGCCTATGTCCAGCAGTGGACAAGCGGCTGATGTTAAGATGACGATTGTGGACAATTACCCAAAGAGAAAACATCTTTCATGTGTTAAGACACCATACTATCACAAATATATTTGCTACGTACCGTACATTCTCTGTGGCATTCTCCATTTTGCTTCCATCAGCAAGCGGTGCGCTCGAGGCAAAAAAAAATTACGCGTTTTGTAAAGAAATATACATTCGCATATTTTTTCATGTTTTCACGAAATATTATATTAGCTTTTGACGCCCTTTCGCCTCATTAGGACGAGTCGGGTCCGCTCTCAAGATATTTTAGAGTCACGCCCACATTAGGTACAAGCTACATACAGATTATTCTTGGTAAATAATTTTACTGTGAAAGCTTTTTTTTTTATATAAATCATAGATTTAATAAATTTATTATTAATTAGTGACTCTATAGCCCAAAAAGATTCTTAAGTGGCCACCTCATACATGCATACAGTATAGGATAACCCCCAATAGATGGAGCGACGACCTTAAGTGCAGTGCAGGGAGTCAGTGGATACCGATAGCTCCAGACTTTCTTTTTTTTTATACAACTTAGAATGGCAATCAAACTGACGGCCCACCTGATGGAAAGTGGTAACCGTCGCCTATAGACATGAGCAGTACCATGGACATAACATTGTATACTGTTTCGCCCATGATAACCCCCTAGCGTTGCCATTCCTGAGGACTCAGGTGTTATTCCTCTGTACTCTGTAAATTCACTGCCATATCATTCTTCAAACCAAACAGCCTTGAAAACACAACTGCTTTACGGTTGAAACACGAATGGGGCAGAGGTATCCAAGCAAACGACTTTTGTACAAAGATTTAGATCGGTCTCGTAGAAGCTTCATTAAAATCGGTTCACTAGTTTGATTTTTAAATTAAATAATAATTCGGTTTTTCCACGATTGCAGATGGTATTATTTTTTCGTGAAATAAAATCTATTATTTTTTTTTACATCTACATCTACACTAATATTATAAAGAGGAAAGATTTGTATTTCTATGTGTATGTTTGTAACAAATAAACTCTAAAACTACTTTGCCGATTTCAAAAATTCTTTCACCATTCGAATGCTGCATTCGCCCTGAGTAACATAAGCTATATTTATTGCTAGAAAAGATTAGGGATCCCTACTAAAACTTTAGTAACGTAACTCAAGGCGTAAAAAATGCTATAAAATATCTTTCGTCGCGTGCGCTGCGGAAACTATTGGTGATAGAACAAAAGTATGTTGTACAATATTGAAGAAAATATCAATAACTACAAAAAACTTCGCGATACTATATGTCCAACTATTATCGTCATGTCACAATAACCACTTTTTAAAAATGTTATAACAATGTCAGCCAGTAATTGAATAAAAAAAGAGTGTCATCTTTAGCGCGGCGAGTGTGCGACAGACCTTACGCTCCTCTCATCAGATGCTTCTTTGTAGATTTATTTTCGTATTTCTCCAAGAGTACACTGGCGTTTCACTTGTTTTATGACGCGTGGCCCCAGCGTTGATTCATGTCGCCATTACAGCGAAGTAACAATCACTTTATTGCTTCTCTCGGTTTTTGTGATTTGTGTTAGCCGAACGAGATTTGCGGCATTGTCTCACATTATTTCTTTATGCAAATTATGATATTACAGCGTTATGTGAAGAGATATATGTATATGGTGGGCTATAATAATACACTTGAAGTGAGACGAAAACTAAATTTAATTGAGTATGTGTTAAAATTAGTGCGGGGGGAAAAGTGTAACCAAACTGTACTGGAATCAATATCAATAGGAGCGCCCAGTAACTACGTGCGAGCACGTCGACGACACTTATTCGATGTTCCATTACGAAGAACAGAGTTCACTAAGCAGGCTCCCCTATCTCTTGCATTGAAATTACTCAATGATATTTTGAGTCAGTATTCGCAATTGCGGATGTATTTGCCTCCAACTTGCTGGAGTTTCGTCGAGTGACCACAGAGTATTTGTGTTCACACGTTTTTTGTTTCATTTGAGTATTTTTGTATTATTTTTTGTGTAATATTCCTTTTTATATGTTATTGTACTCATGCTTTCCTGGGTGAGCGTATTGGAAGACTGTAAGGCTCACCCAGTGGATGTAAGAAATAAATAAATTACATATAGATGTTACCTCGAAGGTTAACCATGCAGTACATTATAAATTTGAAATATCAATTATACATATATCATAAATATGAATTACACGGTACGGGCTTGCATATCCATTGTATAATTCGTAGAATTTATCATTCATGTAAAAGTGTTTTGGCAAATAAATATGAATTTCATTTTATCCTTTTTCCGAATTTAAAACATCCTAATATTGAATATAATCCATTGCTAGCAATATACCCAACCAGGTCGACCTCCTCGCGGTTCTCCCTAGAAACTATCATGGTTAATTCCTGATGAATTCATTATGATGGGCTAACTGGCCTGTTTTCAATCTCATCTATCACCCTTCATTGGTGCTACGCCAGCGTATCCCGTTAGCGCAGGCGGGGTTACCATACCATTTTCACCCATCAAAATAAAAAAAAATTTGAATATACTAGACATATTACGAGACCGCCGTATCGGTCCCGGCATAGAATAGGCCACCCCTTCCTTTCCCGTGGGTGTCGTAAGAGGCGACTAAGGGAGGGCGAGGGATGGGCAACAGCGTTCCTTTTAAAACATCACTAAAAGCTTAACTGCGATTGCCAACTCGCCCAAGCGTGGCAATTACTGGCGAAACTCTCCTTCTGGGGAAGGCGTATGCTCAGCAGTGGACAGTTTTGGGCTGATATGATGGTTATAAAACCAAAAAGAAAAGTAGCCATTTGGTTTTGATATAGGATAGAGCAATGATTTGATTTTTGTTTGTAATGGATAAACTTAAAAAATAAAAAAATTCAAAATTCTTTTACTTATACAAACTTACATTTTTAGCGAGAAACACGAGCTGTATTTAATTTAATTTATCACTCTGTCTATCCCGTGTGAACTGTGTAGGTGAGTCGTGAGTCATCAATATAGTTGAAACTACGAAACATAGAAAAGAAAATAGGTGAGCTAAAAAAAATCTACGTCTATTTTCTAAATGGTAATA